CCCCCCCCGCTCTCCTCCCCCCCCCCCGCTCTCCTCCCCCCCCCCGCTCTCCTCCCCCCCCCCGCTCTCCTCCCCCCCCCGCTCTCCTCCCCCCCCCCCGCTCTCCTCCCCCCCCCGCTCTCCTCCCCCCCCCGCTCTCCTCCCCCCCCCCCGCTCTCCTCCCCCCCCCCGCTCTCCTCCCCCCCCCCGCTCTCCTCCCCCCCCCGCTCTCCTCCCCCCCCCCGCTCTCCTCCCCCTCCCCCGCTCTCCTCCCCCCCCCCCGCTCTCCTCCCCCCCCCCCGCTCTCCTCCCCCCCCCCGCTCTCCTCCCCCCCCCCCGCTCTCCCTCCCCCCCCCCGCTCTCCTCCCCCCCCGCTCTCCTCCCCCCGCTCTCCTCCCTTCCCCTGTCACACGGAGGAGCGGAGTCACGTGTCCGCGTGTCGCCGCGCTTCGCTCCCAGATGCTGATGATGGAGGCGGCGCTGAATGAATTAGCGAGTGAATTAATGATGAACCTCTGATTATTTAATGAATTAATGGCGCGTGAACTCGCGGACTCGGCGCGGCTGCTGCTGCTGATGATGATGGTGCTGATGATGATGCTGGTGCTGATGATGATTAACTCGCAGAAAAACACGTCTCTGCCCGGGTCCGCGCCACTGCGCGCCCAATTATACAAATTACAATCACGGCGAGTTCACGTTACCACAAACACGAGCCTCCCTCCTCGCCCCCCCCCCCCAACCCCCCACTCAGCTCCCCTCCCAGCTACCCCTTCCTCTCACCTCGTCCGCCCAGCTCGCTCCCACTTCCAACCCCCTCACCATCTCCCCCACTCACCTCCCACTCATCTACACCACACTTCCCCTCCCAGCCTCCCCCTCCTCTCACTCTTCTCATCCAACGACGACGTGACTCAGCTCTCACTCCAACTCTCCCGCCACACACTTCACTCAGCTTACATTCAGCCCCCCGCTCAGCTACTTCTTACGTTTTCAGCCCTCCCAGCCCCCCTGTATCGTCATGCTCAGCCCCCCCCCCCCCCCCACTCACGGGGAGTTTTAGCTGCGAGAGGACAAGGGAGGAGGAAGCCGCGTTTAGGGGAATTGCGCCGTGTTCGTCTCCGCCGCTGCTGCTGCTGCTGCCCGGGTTAATCCCGTGAAATCTGGCTTCGATTTTGGAGGGTGGGGAGGGGGTGGGCGTGGAGGAGGGGGGGGGATCGTCTCACCCCAACCCCGACTATTGAAGTCCGGCTCCCCGTGTTGGCTCAAGTCGAACTTTGATTTATTGTATCTCTTGGTACATTTCTGCTGGACGACGCCTTGCGATGGAACGCATCTCATTCATCTCACGCGTCTCATTCATCTCATTCGCAGGGCGTCAATTGCACGAGGGTTGTGTCGCGAACGGCGCGGGGGAGGGGGCGTTTGGGCAGGGCTGGGGGGGGGACGCTCTCTTGTTAATGAAATCGCGAGCCATCAATTAACGCGGTAACCCTCAACCATGAAATCAACCGCGTGTCCCCCCCAGTGTCGCCCTCTCCGCGTGTCTCTTTGTTCCGGGATCACGTGTCCGAAGCGACATCGGCATCACAGAAGGGCGGTGCTGGAGGTAACATTTGGGTGGTGGAGAGGAAGAGGGGGGGAGGAAGGAAGCCGCGTGCCGAGTGGAGCTGTAGGAAGCGCCTCGTGACCCGCGCTCTCCAAGAGGCTCCCAATTACCCTCATTATCTCCCCCTTCCGCCTGCAATCACCCAGCGACACGCACACAAACACCGCGCACACACCGCACTCCGCACACACACACGCCGCATGCCACGCACACACACCGCGTGCCACATACACAAACCCCACACACACACCACACGGATCCCCAGTATGGCTGAACAGACTGTTGGGGCGTGTGCCGTGCCTGCCTCCAGGCAGGCACGGCACACGAGGGGGTGGGTGGCCAGCACCACGCCCGGCCGCCCTTGTCTCCCGAGTGGCGATGTTTACGCACCGCACCAGGTACTCGTTTTTAAGGCTGAGCCGACCTAGGGAAGGCCCAGCACAGGTTTAGATGAACGTCACTGGTGTTGGGTCGCCGTGTTGGTGCGCAGCGCCATAACCACTACACTTCCGCTCTGCACACCACACACAAAGACAAAAATCCCCCCTATAGCCTTTAACAGCCTGTTGGGGCAAGTGCTGTTAGCGAGCACCTCTGAAGGCCGCAGACACCGCGCCCCTACCAGGGGGTGGGTGACGGATGGGGGGGGGGGGGGCGTGGACCACACCACGCACCGACGGACCCTGGCTCCCCAGGAACACGTTTCTGTCCGAGTCGACCTCGGGACTCCCAGGACCGGTTCAGATGCCAAATGTTCGCCGTGTCCTGGATTCGCACTCGAGTGGTCAGCGTTCGAGAGCAGTGTGTGAACTGCTGTGCCACCTCTCATAAATACCACACACACCTACACAACATCATACATACACAACTCACACACCACACACTCCACACACAGACTGCACACCACACGCATCTACACAGCATCACACATACACACATCACACACCACACATGTACATAATATAATAAATACACACAAACACACAAATCGCATATACCATGCAAACACGCTTATTTGCTTCAGAGATGCCAGCTTCTCTGGGTACCCATACCCCCTCGAATAACCCCTTTACCCCTCAGGAGATCCCTACTGCCTCTGCGGTCCCCTTATCCTCCTGAGGATCCCAACTCCTGCAGCAACCCCTGACCTCTCCAGGGCGTGCGGATGATCAGGGAGGCGGAGCGGACCGTGTCCTCCACTCCGCCTCGCCCCCTCGCCGAGGGGTGCGAGGCGGTCCCCTTGAGGTGGGGTACTTGTAGCCACGTGTAAGAGTGCGGCTCGTAAATCAGAGACCCCCCCCCACAGCCACTGACCCCCGCGACTCCCATCGCGCCTGTCTGGAGCCGCTCACGGTCCACACCCCCGCGCCCCCCACGAGACCCCCCCCCCCCTCCTCCCAGCCCCCCTCCCCCGCGTAACGCGCGGACGAGAAAAAGCAAACTTCCTGCAACAGCAGCCGCCACTCAGTCCGGCTGACTCGCGCTCTCCTACCCACTCGCTCACCCACCCACTCCCCCACTCACCCATCCACTCGCTCGCTCACCCACTCACCCACTCCCCCACTCACTCACTCACCCTCCCTCCCACTCGCTCACCCACCCACTCCCCCACTCACCCATCCACTCGCTCGCTCACCCACTCACCAACCCACTCCCCCACTCACTCACTCGCTCACCCTCCCTCCCACTCGCTCACCCACCCACTCCCCCACTCACTCAACCACTCCGCCTCGCCCGCCCGCCCGCCTCCTGCCCGCAGCGCCTAAGTGCGCGACACAGGAGGCGCCTCCGCGCCGCTCGCCCCCCGCCGCCTCCGCGCCGCTCATCAGCAGTCCTGCCGCCTGACGCCGACACGGGCCCGCGGGTTTACGACCCCGCAAATACCGCCCCCCCTCGCCCGCCTTGTAACCCTCTCAGCTCACCCCCGTATCAGCCCCCGCCCGTGCCCTGCCCTGCCCGCTGTAAGCGGCGTGTAATGCGCGCGGCCGGCCGCTCACGGCGTGAAATCGCGGTGATGGAGCGCGGCGCTGTGCCCCCACCCCCCTGCCTCCCACCCGCACCCCACTCGGCCGATCCCAACGTCTCCTACACCCCACCCCCCACAATCCTTCTTATAATCATTTTTCTCCTCCTTGACAATCACCACCGTCACCACGACCACCACCACCATCATTCCTCGTTTCTTCCCCTCCAAGCTGGAAGGACTCGGCTGCGCCGGGCCAGCGCAGTCAGGAGAGGTGGTGGGAGGGCGGCGAGAGGGGAGGTTGTGTGGAGGGGATGGACGAAGGGGGGGGGGGGTGAAGGGCGGGAGGAGGTGAGGAGGGGGGGGGGGGGCCTCAGTTTTATGGCCCCGTGTGGCTCCGGTCGGTGATGGCCTAGATAAGCGCCGCTGCCGCTGCTGCTGCTGCCGCCTCCGCGTCCCATTTGCGTCTCCAGCCTCGTCCCCCGCTAATGCGAGACTCCAGACGGCGGCGAGGGAGGGGGGTGAGGGAGGGGGAGATGCGTCTTTATGGCCGCGCCGCTGTTTGCTTTGTGTTAGTACCTGCGCGCGTCTCCGAGCCGCCCGAGCCTCGGGCGCCGGGTCGGCTCCCCCCTCCCCTCTCATTCCCCCCCTCCCCTCTCATTCTCCCCCCTCCCCTCTCATTCTCCCTCTCACCCACCCCCCCACATCGCCACTCACTACCCCCCCTCCTACTCCACTTCTCTCAGCCCGAGCGTCGCCGCGCCGCGCCAATCCGCCGGGAATAATCACAGCGAAGCATCACAAAAGATGCACGAGGCTCCTCGAGGGGAGCAAGGGGAGGGAGGAAGAGGAGGGGGGTAGGGGGGTAGGGGGCGGGGCAGGGGGCGGGACAGGGGGGCAGGGGGCGGGGCAAAAGGGAGCAGAGAGAGAGGGATCAGGGATAGGGGGTCATGGAGAGAAGAGGGCAGGGAGCGGGGAACGGGGAGAGCGGAGTCGGGGGGGATCAGGGTGATGGGAGCGGGGGAGCGGGGGAGGGGGGGAGCGGGGGAGCGGGGTGTCGTGCGCATCATCGGCCATGGTCTATCCACTGCTGGATGAAGGACTCCCCACGCCGTCGCCATCCCTCACAGCTCAGTGCTGATTCTGTCCATTGCTTGACTGCGTCACGATTTATCTACACAACTCGAGTAACGTAAACACAGGGATGTTTTCAACGTTTCGACCGTTAAACCTTATTCAGGAATAATGTTAAATGTTTTTATGATAATTATACATATACACGTAAAATTCCTGCATGCATACGCAATGGAACACGCACACATGCACACACACAATCTTTCATGAACACTCTGCACATACAACAATCGCTGTTCGCCACTAAGTGGCGGTGACGTCGCCACGGCGCTTGTGCCAGGCTAGGTGCACTTTCAGGTTAGGTGAAGTGTCGAAGGCTCGCTGGCAGGTCACAGAACAGACCCAGGAGCCATGGGTTGGTTGACTGACTGAGATGACTGACAGATGCACCACCACCTGTGCTCCCCACTGCGCCAACGTGCTGAGTTTTATCCGCTCGTTGTTGTGAGCGTCGCTCCTCTGCCCTCCGCTGTTGTTGGAGGGCGACTGCCTCCAACTGCCCAGTAGCAGCAGCGTCCTTCATGAACCTCCTCCATGGAGGTCGATCTTGACACACGCATACACACAGAACACATTCACATGCAAAACACAGAATTGGTGCACACACACTCGCATACACGCCCTCTCTCTTACACACGGACACAAGGACCCCACCGTATCGCCTTGAACATGCTTTTAGATTAGCTAGCACCGATTAAGGTCGGAACGGCGCACGAGGGGGTGGTGCGGCCAGGACCCACACCCGGCCGCCTTTGTCTCCCAAGTGTTGATGTAGATACACCGAACCAGCCACTGTACTCATTTAAGGCTTAGTCGACCAAGGGGAGGCCCGGGACAAGTTCAGAGGTTCGTCACTGATGTTGGCCGTGCGAAGGAATCGAACTCTTGTCGTGTCGCACAGCGCGAATCACTGCACCACCGCCCCCCACACAAACGACGAAAGACAAAGCAAGCAAAGATTCCCCGTATAGCCTTCAGGCTGCTGGGAAAAGTGCTGTTTGCGAGCACCTATTAGGGCAAATGATTTGGTGATACTGCGCTGGTAGTGGGTGCACAAGCACAGCAGTAGAAGCACAGCGACACATTTCAACACAAGCGTCGATCAATATCACTGGGACCTTAAAAGGGGAAAAATATATATAATAGGCGACGTTTCGGACAATAATCCTTCTCCATAGCACAGACAAGCCGATAAAGACCGGAACGGCACCGCACGCACCGACACAGATGTGCACCCATCGACACGCTCCCTCACCTCCCTCACCAGCCTCACCAGCCCCTCCCCGCCCCCTCGGTGTGGGAGGGGGGTCACCGCGGGATGACCCCGCGCGAGGCGCTCGCTTTATGGCGCCACACTTGATTCTCTGCGGCCGTGAGCAGACGTGTAAATGGAGAGAGGGGGGGAGCGCGGGGAGAGCGGCTGGGAGAGCGAGGAGAGAGCGTGTTTGCTTAGACAAGTCGTTAATTATGCATTAACTCGAGCAGTGAGCGGAGAAGTCGCCCCACTTAAAAGCCGCGTTTACCTTGTTCCTAGTTCCATAAACATCCGCGCCCCGCGCCCCGCGCCCCCAGGGCCCCCCAGCAACGCGGGGGTGGGGGGAGGTAGACGGGGGGGGGGGGCATGGTAAGTGGATGTGGCGGGGGGGGGGGGTCCCTGTAGTGAGTGAGCGAGGGTGAGTGGAGGAGGGTGACTGCGTGTCACGTGGGTGTGAATGTGTGTGGGTGTGTGTGGGTGGTGTGTGTGTGTGCACGGTTTTTGATGATGATGTGTGTGTGTGTTGGTGAGTGGTGACGGAGTCTCACGGGGTGAGCGAGTGTATGGGTGAAGTGTGAGCATGATTAATCGTTCAGCCGGGCGCCTGATTAACTAATTGCTGATTCACTAATTGCTGAGTCACTAATTGCTGATTGCGCGCGCGGTCTGAACTATGACCGCTCGCGTGCGCGGTGGGGGGCGGGGGGGGCAAGGACCCCGCTGTCAAACTCAACCCAAACTCGATCCGAAACCCTCCTCCTCCTCCACGCCGCCATCGTCACGCGTGGCCACGGTCCCAGCCCCCAGCCCCCCCTCCCGGCCGTCTGCTGCAGGGGCCAGAGCCTCGCACTCTGCCCCCCCCCACAACGCACCGCCCCCCCCCCCCACCACGCCCCGCCCCTCGTCTTGTCACTTTATCTGCAGGACTCGACTCGAGCGCCATGAGCGTATCTGCTGGCTCCGTGTGTCTCCTCCCCCTCTCGTTCCTCTGACCCCCCCACCATCCACACCCCTCACCACCTCACGTCGTGTCCCAGTGATAATCAGAATCTTTATTTATCCTGGAGAAAAATCAAGCCAACTAGGAGATGCAGTCGAGACTAGAGCACCATGAGAGATCTCCCGTATATTTTCACATACAGAGATGTCCATCACACAGCGATGTCCATCACACACACAGACATGCCCATCACACACACAGAGATGTCCATCACACACACAGAGATGCCCATCACACACACAGAGATGTCCATCACACACACAGAGATGTCCATCACACACACAGAGATGTCCATCACACACACAAAGATGTCCATCACACAGAAATGTCCATCACACAGAGATGTCCATCACACAGAGATGTCCATCACACACACAGAGATGTCCATCACACAGAGATGCCCATCACACACACAGAGATGTCCATCACACACACAGAGATGTCCATCACACACACAGAGATGTTCATGACACACAGAGATGTCCATCACACACACAGAGATGTCCATCACACACACAGAGACGCTCATTACACACACAGAGATTCCCATCACACACACAGAGATGTCCATCACACACACAGAGACGCCCATCACACACACAGAGATGTCCATCACACACACAGAGATGCCCATCACACAGAGATGCCCATCACACACACAGATGTTCACCACACACACAGAGATGTCCATCACACACACAGAGATGTCGATCACACACACAGAGATGTTCATCACACACAGAGATGTCCATCACACACACAGAGACGCCCATCACACACACAGAGATGTCCATCACACACACAGAGATGCCCATCACACAGAGATGCCCATCACACACACAGATGTTCACCACACACACAGAGATGTCCATCACACACACAGAGATGTCCATCACACACACAGAGATGTCCATCACACACACAGAGATGTTCATCACACACAGAGATGCCCATCACACACACAGAGATGTCCATCACACACACAAAGATGCCCATCACACACACAGAGATGTCCATCGCACACACAGAGATGTCCATCACACACACAGAGATGCCCATCACACACACAGAGATGTCCATCACACACACAGAGACGCCCATCACACACACAGAGATGTCCATCACACACACAGAGATGCCCATCACACAGAGATGCCCATCACACACACAGAGATGTCCATCACACACACAGAGATGTCCATCACACACACAGAGATGTCCATCACACACACAGAGATGTCCATCACACACACAGAGATGTTCATCACACACAGAGATGCCCATCACACACACAGAGATGTCCATCACACACACAGAGATGTCCATCACACACACAGAGATGCCCATCACACACACAGAGATGTCCATCACACACACAGAGATGCCCATCACACACACAGAGATGTCCATCACACACACAGAGATGTCCATCACACACACAGAGATGTCCATCACACACACAGAGATGTCCATCACACACACAGAGATGTCCATCACACAGAGATGTCCATCACACACACAGAGATGTCCATCACACACACAGAGATGTCCATCACACACACAGAGATGTTCATCACACACAGAGATGCCCATCACACACACAGAGATGTCCATCACACACACAAAGATGCCCATCACACACACAGAGATGTCCATCGCACACACAGAGATGTCCATCACACACACAGAGATGCCCATCACACACACAGAGATGTCCATCACACACACAGAGATGTCCATCACACACACAGAGATGTCCATCACACACACAGAGATGTTCGTCACACACACAGAGATGTCCATCACACACACAGAGATGTCCATCACACACACAGAGATGTCCATCACACAGAGATGTCCATCACACACACAGAGATGTCCATCACACAGAGATGTCCATCACACTCACAGAGATGTCCATCACACACACAGAGATGTTCATCACACACACAGAGATGTCCATCACACACACAGAGATGTCCATCACACACACAGAGATGCCCATCACACACACAGAGATGCCCATCACACACACAGAGATTTCCATCACACACACAGAGATGTCCATCACACACACAGAGATGCCCATCACACACTCAGAGATGTCCATCACACACACAGAGATGCCCATCACACACACAGAGATGCCCATCACACACACAGAGATGTCCATCACACACACAGAGATGTCCATCACACACACAGAGATGCCAATCACACACACAGAGATGTCCATCACACACACAGAGATGCCCATCACACACACAGAGATGCCCATCACACACACAGAGATGTCCATCACACACACAGAGATGCCCATCACACACACAGAGATGTCCATCACACACACAGAGATGCCCATCACACACACAGAGATGCCCATCACACACTCAGAGATGTCCATCACACACACAGAGATGTCCATCACACACACAGAGATGCCCATCACACACTCAGAGATGTCCATCACACACACAGAGATGCCCATCACACACACAGAGATGCCCATCACACACACAGAGATGTCCATCACACACACAGAGATGCCCATCACACACACAGAGATGTCCATCACACACACAGAGACGCCCATCACACACACAGAGATGTCCATCACACACACAGAGATGCCCATCACACAGAGATGCCCATCACACACACAGATGTTCACCACACACACAGAGATGTCCATCACACACACAGAGATGTCCATCACACACACAGAGATGTTCATCACACACAGAGATGTCCATCACACACACAGAGACGCCCATCACACACACAGAGATGTCCATCACACACACAGAGATGCCCATCACACAGAGATGCCCATCACACACACAGATGTTCACCACATACACAGAGATGTCCATCACACACACAGAGATGTCCATCACACACACAGAGATGTCCATCACACACACAGAGATGTTCATCACACACAGAGATGCCCATCACACACACAGAGATGTCCATCACACACACAAAGATGCCCATCACACACACAGAGATGTCCATCGCACACACAGAGATGTCCATCACACACACAGAGATGCCCATCACACACACAGAGATGTCCATCACACACACAGAGATGTCCATCACACACACAGAGATGTCCATCACACACACAGAGATGTTCGTCACACACACAGAGATGTCCATCACACACACAGAGATGTCCATCACACACACAGAGATGTCCATCACACACACAGAGATGTCCATCACACACACAGATATGTCCATCACACAGAGATGTCCATCACACACACAGAGATGTCCATCACACAGAGATGTCCATCACACTCACAGAGATGTCCATCACACACACAGAGATGTTCATCACACACACAGAGATGTCCATCACACACACAGAGATGTCCATCACACACACAGAGATGCCCATCACACACACAGAGATGCCCATCACACACACAGAGATTTCCATCACACACACAGAGATGTCCATCACACACACAGAGATGCCCATCACACACTCAGAGATGTCCATCACACACACAGAGATGCCCATCACACACACAGAGATGCCCATCACACACACAGAGATGTCCATCACACACACAGAGATGTCCATCACACACACAGAGATGCCAATCACACACACAGAGATGTCCATCACACACACAGAGATGCCCATCACACACACAGAGATGCCCATCACACACACAGAGATGTCCATCACACACACAGAGATGCCCATCACACACACAGAGATGCCCATCACACACTCAGAGATGTCCATCACACACACAGAGATGTCCATCACACACACAGAGATGCCCATCACACACTCAGAGATGTCCATCACACACACAGAGATGCCCATCACACACTCAGAGATGTCCATCACACACACAGAGATGCCCATCACACACACAGAGATGCCCATCACACACACAGAGATGTCCATCACACACACAGAGATGTCCATCACACACACAGAGATGCCAATCACACACACAGAGATGTCCACCACACACACAGAGATGCCCATCACACACACAGAGATGCCCATCACACACACAGAGATGTCCATCACACACACAGAGATGCCCATCACACACTCAGAGATGTCCATCACACACACAGAGATGTCCATCACACACACAGAGATGGCCATCACACACTCAGAGATGTCCATCACACACACAGAGATGCCCATCACACACACAGAGATGCCCATCACACACACAGAGATGTCCATCACACACACAGAGATGCCCATCACACACACAGAGATGTCCATCACACACACAGAGATGTCCATCACACACACAGAGATGTCCATCACACAGAGATGTCCATCACACACACAGAGATGTCCATCACACAGAGATGTCCATCACACTCACAGAGATGTCCATCACACACACAGAGATGTTCATCACACACACAGAGATGTTCATCACACACACAGAGATGTCCATCACACACACAGAGATGTCCATCACACAGATATGTCCATCACACACACAGAGATGTCCATCACACAGAGATGTCCATCACACTCACAGAGATGTCCATCACACACACAGAGATGTCCATCACACACAAAGAGATGTCCATCACACAGAGATGTCCATCACACTCACAGAGATGTCCATCACACACACAGAGATGTCCATCACACTCACAGAGATGTCCATCACACTCACAGAGATGTCCATCACACACACAGAGATGTCCATCACACACACAGAGATGTTCATCACACACACAGAGATGTCCATCACACACACAGAGATGTCCATCACACACAAAGAGATGTCCATCACACAGAGATGTCCATCACACTCACAGAGATGTCCATCACACTCACAGAGATGTCCATCACACACACAGAGATGTTCATCACACACACAGATATGTCCATCACACACACAGAGATGTCCATCTCACACACAGAGATGTCCATCACACACACAGAGATGTCCATTACACACACAGAGATGCCCATCACACACACAGAGATACCCATCACACAGAGATGTCCATCACACACACAGAGATGCCCATCACACACAGAGAGATGTTCATCACACACAGAGATGTCCATCACACACACAGAGATGCTCATCACACACACAGAGATGCTCATCGCACACACAGAGATGTCCATTACACACACACAGTTGTCCATCACACACACAGAGATGTTCATCACACACACAGAGATGTCCATCACACACACAGAGATGCCCATCACACACACAGAGATACCCATCACACAGAGATGTCCATCACACACACAGAGATGCCCATCACACACAGAGAGATGTTCATCACACACAGAGATGTCCATCACACACACAGAGATGCTCATCACACACACAGAGATGCTCATCACACACACAGAGATGTCCATCACACACACACAGTTGTCCATCACACACACAGAGATGTTCATCACACACACAGAGATGTCCATCACACACACAAAGATGTTCATCACACAGAGATGTCCATCACACACACAGAGATGTCCATCACACAGAGATGTCCATCACACACACAAAGATGCCCATCACACACACAGAGATGTACATCACACAGAGATGTCCATCACACACACAGAGATGTTCATCACACACACAGAGAGATGCCCATCACACACACAGAGATGTCCATCACACACACAGAGATGTCCATCACACACACAGAGATGCCCATCACACACACAGAGATGTCCATCACAGATGTCCACCTCACACGCACACGTGGAGACGTCCATCACTGCGATTGAGATGTTCTTCCCACGTCACTCACGCTAACACGGTTACAAATCCCAACTAAACCGAACTCGAGCGTGAAGGCGCCAGCGTCTCCCCCCCCACCCCTCCCTATGTGCCCGGCGTCAGGGTGCGAGCGCAAGGGACTCCCCCCTCTCGCCCCCCCCCCGCCCCGCAGGGAGCAACAGCAGGAGCAGGAGGGTAATGACTCTTCTCCCTGTGCACGGTCACGTGTCTCCAATTCCGTTCACTCATCAATAGCCGCATGACTTCATAGCGACGAGTGTGCCCACTCGGACTGGACACGTACAGACAAAGATCCCCCGCAGAGCCTTGAGCAGGCTGTCGGGGCAAGTGCTGCTAGCGAGTGGCACCGATGAAGACGACCAAGTCACACGAGGGGGTGGGTGGCCAGCTCCACGCCCAGCCGCCTTTGTCTCTCCATTGCTGATGTTTTACACGCAGCACCAGGTACTCATTTGAAGGACTCGGTCAGATGCTTGCCACTAACGGCGACACGACCGCTCCTCCCCACACTCACTCACACGAGCACAACTACGTCTCGTCTTCGCCGTCACAGCCGGGACTGGGGGTAGGGGGGTGCCTATGAAGAGGGTGGCGGTGTTGATCGCTCAGGACCACCCGCAGCAGCCACGGTAGCAGTGGAGAGGGGCGGGAGGGCGGTAATCTCATCTCATCAGCCGCATTCATTACCCCTGATCTACGCGCGCTTACATCACCGCTCCCTCCCGCCTCTCATCAGCCCGATTGTTTCTGCCCAAGTCGCCCAACTCGTTAGCTCACTCGCGATCGATCTCGCAGGAGTGGGCTCGGCGCTGCGGGGGGCAGGGGGCACGCAGGTAGCCCCCACCCCCCACCCCCCGGGGGGAGGAGGCGCGCGCGGGGAGACGGGGGGACGAGGAGGAGCGGGGTGGTGGTGGTGGTGGCAAGGATTCATTCAGCCTCGCGCCACGAGTCTCCATCTCACGATCTCCCCCTCCCCTCCGCTCGCCTTCCCTCCCGCGCCTCCCCCTCTCTCCCCCGCCCCCCGCCTCCTCCCCTCGCCTCACCTCCTCCACCCTCCCCCACCGCTCCCCGCAGAGGAGCCAAAGCGATCACGACAGTCCATCTGTGGAATGGCCCGCACGGAAATATTTCATTGTAGGTCCGTGGGACGGCGCAATCAATCGGCCGTTATCATTTTAATGGCGAGGCGCGTAGTTAGAAGTGAGGGAATCAATTTTCACACATTATCTCTATTAGTCCGGTGAAGGGCGCGTGATGGATGCCGGCGCGGCCAGGGCAGGCGCCTCCTCCTCCTCCCGGCCGCAGCGCCCCCTGCTCATTCCGGTGATGGAGGCGACCGCGGGGGGCGCGAGTCGATGGCCCCCGCGACGCTCATTTCCTGGGCCCCCGAGTAACCCCCCCCCCCCCCGCTCCTACCCTCAACCCCCCCCCCCACCGTCACTCCCTCTCCCTGAACCCCGTGTCCGATCCCTCGCCCCTCCCCTCCACTCCCCCCGCCCGTCCCGGAATCGATGAATCTGTGAGGACACGGATTCGCAAAGGGTCGAGGTGGTCACTCCCCCCCACCCCCCACCCCTCCCCCCACCCCCCGAGTCGATCCCCGTCACTTGGTTCGACTCGCCCTGCTCGTCCTGGGCCCAACCCCCTTCACGCGTCCCCCGCCCCTTCATCCCCCTGTCCACCATCCCCGCCCCTTCATCCCCCTGTCCACCACCCCCGCCCCTTCATCCCCCTGTCAACCACCCCCGCCCCTTCATCCCCCTGTCAACTACCCCCGCCCCTCCCGCCCCCCCTTGTCATAGCCCCTTCAGTGCGCTCGCGGCCCGCGTGCAGTCGCACCGCCTGCACTCTATTCGATAGTTAGGCCACGGGCCCTGGACACACCGTCGCGCATGAGTGCGTTCGTGTCAATGTGGCGTGTGAATGTTGATGGGGTGTGTACGCTTACAGCACTTGGCCAAGAAGTCTGTTGAAGCCTATCCGGGGGAGCTTTGTCTTGGCGACGTCGCAGCGCGCCGGGACGCGCGGCGCGGGGTTGGGGGCGCGCGCGTCTCCCAGCAGCCGAGCACGAATCGCCCTCTCGACGAATCGAGTCTTCAAAATCTAAAACCAATTAATTGAACGATTAGCGTTAACTTTCTGCTCATCATGTTCAGCAGTGGTGACACTCGTGCCACACAGCAACAATCTCTTGGGCTCGACTACCGACTCTGTGCCTCTCTGTGTGTGGAGTCTGTATCTTCTCCCCCTGTTTTGCATGGGTTTCCTCCTCCCATGGCTAAACGCAAACCATTCACTGTAAGCGGTGTTGGCCAAACCACATTCCAATGCTGAAACATTACCTGCAAATTACACACCGTAGTAGCAACATGGCCACCCACTATGAACGCTTGGCAGGACCCTCCTCAAAAAGAGTCCTGAGACTCCACGAGGCTTTCCAAAGTAAACAAACGAAATGAAAAAGCACGCACGCTCGTTGCATGGCGTCTGCACCCGAGCTGATTCCATCGCTCCATCTCCGCTGTGGCCGACCTCTCGGACGCGTTCCACTCCTTGACTGCCGCTCCGTGACGACTCTCGACCATCGTCCATCACGGTCGCCTCCTGTGGCCGTGACGCGTCCTGCCCAGGCCCCGCCCACTCCTCTCGGCAGTCTGGGGGGCGATGCCGCGGCGTGCGTTCTCGAGCCGCCGTGTTCCCGTCTCTCCCCGTCTCTCGGTGCGATCCCAAGCGAGCGTCTTTACAGCCACGTATCATTACACCGATTGATGTCATGGGTATTGCTTGACCATACTTCCCCATAGTCTTAAACAGACTGTTGGGACAAGTGCTGTGAGCGAGTAGCAGCTATGAAGGTCGGCACGGCACACGAGGGAGTAGGTGGCCAGCCCCGCGCCCGGCAGCTTCGTCTCCCCAGTGGCGATGTTTTCACACCGCGCCAGGTATTTATGCATGGCTGAGTCGACCTCGGGGAGGACCAGGGCTGATTCCCATATTCGCCACTGTTATTGGTCATGCGCTAACCACTGCGCCACCGCTCCCCCACGCGCACACACATCCACGGGCAGGCACGTGACAGAAACACGGCGCTGTCCCGCTGAGCGCAAATACGGGTTTACTAATGGCTCCGTACAATGCCCCCTAACCCCAACCCCAACCCCGCAAACATAATCCCCTGACCCCCAACCCCATAAGCCTTCACCCAGACCCCGACTCTAACCCTGCACGTGGGAACGCGGCGGCTCGCGACGCCGGGGAGGGGGAGTCTGAGTCGACGTGCCCCCCCCCCCCCGATCTGTCCGACGCTTGCGCGCGGTGGCAGCAGCAGCAGCAGCGGTTCAGTTCAGGAACTCGATGCCGAGTGTCTGTATGGAGAACTTCTTCCGCACCGTACGTAGCCAACCGTGATACTCGTGTCGAGGTCCTGCTGCTGGCCACGACGAGAGGGCTTCAACGGAGCGGGAGGGAGAGAGAGTCGTATTGTTGAATGAGCGCAGACCACAGAGGTTTACTGTGCGGATCCATCGTGTGGGCTTCATGGCCACACTCGCACTCCTGTGGCTGGTGTCTTTAATGTAACTCGATGTATCGACATGTGTTTCTGTGTGTGTGTACGTGTGTCTCAGAGTGTATATGTATCTCTGTGGGTCTCTATGTATCTCGGAGTCTCTCTGGGGTTACCATGTGGTTCATAGTTTGCGTTGCATGGCCACACTCGCACAACTGGGGCTTGTGTCTTTAATTGTCCATTTATGAAGGGGATGTGGACATTGGCCTGCTTATTATTCTGATGAGGTTGATGGTTCCAGCGGTGTCTTCAGGGAGGAGGTGGAATATCCAAGCCAGAAGGATTGCGATGATGTTTGGGTCCGCGTTGTTCCACTCCATGATCCAGGAGCGTTTTCCCGCATCTGGGTGAGATGTTGGGATGAAGATCTATCCGGATGTGCGCTTTCACAAATTAAGAGTCCCCATTTGGTCGCTTTTCCCGAGCAACTGAATTGATGCGAGGGACTTTTATTGAGTACATCCACCCGAGTGAGAGAAAAATCACGCATGGACAGGGGTCGGCAACCAAAACAACAATCGAGTTCAAAAGCCGCAATGCCCCGTGGTGAATACGAGGTGGTCCTTAATAAATAGCATGAGGGAGCCGTCCTGAAAGAGCCGCATGCGGTTCCAGAGCCGCAGGTTACCGACCCCCGCACATGGAACAATGACATCGTCTCCACACGCGTTTGTCTTCACTAATATGGCATTGGCTGCACGGAAGCCAATGCGTAGCTGTTGCGGGAGAACGCGTCTGTATATTTTCCAATTTTGAATTTGCAAGGGGTTGTGTGCGAGTTGTGGGCACCACTTTGATGAACGTGGCCGAGTTCATACAGAGCGAGTTCCCCAGCATCAGCAGCAGCACGACTTGCCACGACAGTCCCATTCACAGGGGGATCAATCTGCACGGGAGGGGTCTTGACCCCCCGGACCCGACCCATTCATTACGAACGGACGGGAACGATTACGCAATCGCCGTCCACCTTGGCTGGAGAGCGAGAACGTGAGCGTAGAGAAAACACCGGAGCGTCAGAAGGGAGTCTCACTCACCACGTGTACACATGCGTGAGTAAGTGAGTGCGTGAGTGAGTGAATGGGTGAGTGCGTGCGTGAGTGAGTGTGTGCGTGAATGAGTGAGTGAGTGCGTGAGTGCGTGAGTGGGTGAGTGGGTGAGTGCGTGCGTGCGTGAGTGGGTGAGTGAGTGGGTGAGTGAGTGCGTGAGTTTAGTGAGTGAGTGCTTGAGTGAGTGAGTGCGTGAGTGGGTGGGTGTGTGATTGGGCGAGTCAGTGCGTGCGTGAGTGGGTGCGTGTGTGAGTGAGTGCGTGAGTGGGTGAGTGAGTGCGTGCGTGCGTGAGTGGGTGAGTGAGTGAGTGCGTGAGTGGGTGGGTGTGTGATTGGGTGAGTGAGTGCGTGCGTGAGTGGGTGCGTGCGTGAGTGAGTGCGTGCGTGAGTGGGTGAGTGCGTGAGTGGGTGAGTGAGTGCGTGCGTGAGTGAGTGGGTGAGTGGGTGAGTGAGCGCGTGCGTGGGCGAGTGCGTGAGTGAGTGGGTGAGTGGGTGAGTGAGTGCGCGAGTGGGTGGGTGCGTGCGTGAGTGGGTGAGTGAGTTTAGTGAGTGAGTGCTTGAGTGAGTGAGTGCGTGAGCGCGTGCGTGGGCGAGTGCGTGAGTGGGTGTGTGTACACACCCAGTCGGGCCCCCCGCGCGTCCCGTAAACACGGCGAGGGGACGCGAGGCGGACCCCCTTCCCGGGGGAGGGTTCCGAGACGAGGCCTCCTTCCCGGTAAACACGCGGCGGTTACGGAGCGAGGAGGACACGCAGCGCACACATCACGAGCGCTAAACGCGACCTGATTTAGGTCTCGCGTCAGATGGGGCCCAGATAAAGCTCCTTGAGCGCGGTGGGAAACGCGCCCAGCTCTAAAATTAATGCCGCACACAGAGATCCTATCGCTTGCGATGTCCTTCCTGTGCGCGGAGTCGCCTTCTGAGTCCTGCTGCTCCCTCCCTGCCCCCCCTCCCTGCTGCCCCCCCTCCCTGCTGCCTCTTCCCACCCCTCCTCCTGCGCCCCGCCCCCCACTCTCCGCCGCTCCCACGCGGCGCCGCTGTCCATCGATCCCGAGTCTTATCCTAAACCCTGACCCGACCCCTATCCCGTGATACCCATAAACCCTCACCCACAACCTAACCTCTCTATCCTAAACCCTGAACCTAAACCTGACCCTTTAACCTAAATCCTGATCCTATGGCCAGCGGTTCTCAACCAGTGGCGCGCAGGTTGCAGCATGGGCACCGTGCAGGAGAAATTCCGCACGTGCGCAGGTTGCGACGGCAAAACGCCCTGACACGCAACATGGAACACATCCCTGACACAAGGCACGCCAATGCACACCGAGTTGAGTCGAAGTGTGGACACGTGATCTCTGTACTGTGGCTTTAATAACCTGGGGTGAAGGGCCTGGAGGTGGGGGCATGGAGGTGGGGGCCTGGAGGTGGGGGCATGGAGGTGGGGGCATGGAGGTGGGGGCATGGAGGTGGGGGCATGGAGGTGGGGGCATGGAGGTGGGGGCATGGAGGTGGGGGCATGGAGGGGGCTCCGTGGTCTTGATTGTGGGGCCTCCAAACCCCCAACACAGTCGAGAACCGCCGCCCCGAGCCAAGCTCTGTCCCTCACGCCCTGAGTCTGGACGCCGACTCCAAATCTCACTCGTCCTCCTCCGCGCCGATCATGTGAAACGTCCCTTCTCCTCTCTGCACCGGAACTCGGTCGAAAGTTCCATCGCAAATGCCTCAATCGGGACCGTGCACCGCGACCATTGCCCCTCTACCGGCAGTCGCCTCGTGCCCCGGGCCGCCACTCGCGCGCCACCAGACCCCCCCGGGCCGCCACTGGCGGCGAGTTCTCCTCTCGTCACACGAACCCAACTGGACCCTCATCATCTCAGCGCACTTGCGATTGATGTATTACTTATTCTGCTGCACCGTGGGAAATCCAAACTGCGTTGCTCTCATGCGTCTCTCGGTAAAGACGACCGCCAGTCAGCCCTTACGGGAGTTGGGCGGGGATCTTTGTCGCGAGATAGCGACCAGAGTGGGGGGCTCTGTCGAGAGATAGCGGAGTGGGGGGCTCTGTCGAGAGATAGCGACCAGAGTGGGGGTGTGGGGTGGATTTTCTCTCATCTCGAACTCCCGACACTTTTCAGGCCCCCCCCCCCACTGAGATCCGTGAGTCGCGGGGGCGAAGACTCGGGACGGCAGGGGCGGGGCCGTGGGTGTTAAGAGGGGGCGGGGGTCCGAGGAACGGGAGGAGGGGGGGGTCAGACGGGGTGAGTCTGGGTCCTGTCTCTCCGTGTCCCCGTTACTGATATCCCAGTGTCTCTTCCGTGTATCTCGCGTCCCCGTGTCTCGTGGTGTCCCCGTGTCTCCTGCAGAGTAAGGGTGTCTCTCTCTTACGCTCGCGGTAAACGGTGCTGCTGCGGCGTCCAATGATCGCCATGAGAACGGGAGATGTGCGACCACGCAAAGTCGAGTTTACGTAAGGTCGAGTCTACGTAGGGCCGAGTTTACGTAAGGTCGAGTTTACGTAAGGTCGAGTCACGCGCTGCTGCAGTGACGCGGCGCGGGAGAAGATGATGAGGACCGTCGCCCCACAGAGGGGCACGACGCGACGG